TTTCTTAAGGATTAATAAACCAAAAACTGAAAAATATTTTATTTTATAGCAAATATAATGCAAAACCATTAGGGTGGGTGAGCCATTAGTGGAGGTACTAAGTTATTTTATTAATTAAACAATAAATATACGATGTACACACAATTGTTATACGTCAATCTATAGCTTTCAACCTATAGTTTTATTGAAAAATATTAAACTGTAATAAAATTGCATACAATTTTAGAAAACTCATCTGCCATTAATAGGAACACCGTTCCAGTAGTTGTGATAGTTGCTAACTTTGGTTCCTATAATCAGCGTTGCTAGTATTCCAGATTTATCTGGATTTTCCAGATGTTCAGTCGTCTTTCCAGATACGCAGACAGACCACGTATATTTCCAGATTTTTCCAGATTTTTAAAACAAATTGCTTTAAAAAGATTACTGCATTTGATTTACCCTCTAATCAAAAAATAAAAAGTTAAACTTGCTACTTTAATTATTAAAGGCCATCAACGTTGGAAATAATTGGGTTGCAGAGTCATGAAAATTGAGTCATTTCCTTAAGATTATGGGATGAAAAAACCCTTAATTTTTTTTTTAAATATCGGGCTTGGATTCTTTTTATTTGGAAAGGTTTGTTTTGATTTTGGCTATAATTTATTTTTTGGAATCCTGAATGAGAAAATCAAAATTTCAATATGGAGGGATTTTCATAATTTTGCAATTTAGAGAAATCAAAAAACTGTTCCGGATTGAAAACAATAAATTGAGCTTTGGAAAATTAGCAAGGTTTTTGAATCTAGACAACTACCAGGACTTTGAAGTATGTTCTTGAGATTTTTGAGGCTTAAATTAAAGATTTAAAAGGCATTTGATAATTCTTAGCTCTTTTTGAAGTACCTGTGAATATTGAGTTAGCAGTCTGAATTACTGTAGAATTCTGAATAGCCCTAGAATTTCAAAATTTTAAGTAAAGTGTGAAGTGAATTCCTTGTGAAACCATAGGCGGATTCCAAGTTTATTCTGAGTAGAGTTCCATAGCTCTGATGACAATTGCTTGCCGATGTTGTGAATAAATTACATATAAGTGTGTGAGTACCACGATGTGCGGTTTTGGTTTTCAGTTCAGCCAGGTGAATTTTTCATAAAATTAAAAGTGCCTACTGGTCTACTAAGTTTTGTGTGTTGTTATGTTTTCAAAAATTAAATTGTAAGTCTGATCAACCTTAGGGTAATATTAGAATTCTTTAGAACTAATAAAATCTTTCAGGCGTATTCTGGTACTGCATCAAATAGTAAAGGCTACATCGACTATTATAAAAACATCCATCTCATCAAAGTTGCTTGATTCTTTGCATCTCATACTTTTTAAAAAAGTTACAGTTTAAACATATTTTCTGTAGTATTTTACCCAAAAATCAACTCAAATTTGAAATTATGTGTAATGCATATTTAAACTTTTTGGGTACATTGTGCCAATACTTTTCCTAACTTTTTGATGCTAGCAAGTTATTTGCTTTATATAATTTATTTAGACATGTATTTCATAAACATTCTGGCCCTTTCATTAAATTCCAGATGATTATACTGACCGATTTTCCGGGAGATTGGCACATCAGTTTGATTTCAATAGCATTATGTAAAAAACAGGACTTTTTAGAGCATTCCAGATTTTTCCAGATTTTATATTTTAACTGGTCCTCATTTTTCTGAAAATGACCTGACAACGCTGCCTATAATAGTGGAATGCGTTGGTTTCATATAGGTTCCACTATTATAGGAACACTACCGCAACTATTGGTGCAAAGAAGTGAAAATCTTAAGGAAAATTAGTCACTTTTGGGCATATTTTAAGTTTGATATATGCAAATTTGCTTTATTTTAGGAGAGCCACCGATGAAAAATAATCTTATCTGGATCTGGAACACCTACCCTACCTCTCAATTTGCGGTACGTTTCCCCATCCACGGTGGCTGCAATTTGCCATCGTATTTTTACATTATCACAACGCCATTTTTTTTTTTTTTGAGTCAACAAATGGACTGAAAGCTCATAATTGAGATCCACCTTTATTTATTTATTGTTGAGTCAATGTTACTCAAATTCACAAATCACAACTACTCATGATTTGATGTTTCGTAAGTAGTTATGAAAATGAGTACTTCTGACTAATTTTTGAGTATCCTTAAAGGAGCGTGTATGACGCAGCGATTGTAACTTATGGCAGTAAGCTCCAACTAGGATTAACTTTTAATACCGTCCCAGTCTGGATGATTTGCAAAATGTTGTGTCGATTAACTAGGATGTCAAAATCAAAGCAGCCGGATATTCTTGATCAGGATTTAATCCGAGGATAATACCGGTTGGAGCTTACCACTTTTAGTGTTTTGACGTTTGCTCGCACTTTATCTATCTACACGCTATTTCAAAACTACCCAAATTTGGGTAGAATCCACCCAGATCGGTCAAAACTGAACCTACCCAAAAATGGGTAAACTGTGTTGGGAGCAGGCTTCCGGAAATCTCACGCGTACACAAATGCGACAGCGAGCTGTGAGACGGAGCGTCGCATGACTCAAATCCATTGTGTGCTACATTAATTGTACAAAAGAGAGATCAGAACGAGGCGCGCGACAAGCTACACGCTCTCAACTAATTCAAGCGTTTCATTTTTTTTGACGTTGGATAACGTCTTTCGGCAACGGCGCCGGTGGTGTAGTGGTAAGCGTGATTACCTCTCACCCTAGCAGGCCTGGTTTCAATCCCAGTCGGCGCCGCCGGGATGTTCTGAGGCATAACATCTCTGATCACGCCTTCCTTCGGATGGGAAGTAAAGCCGTTGGTCCCCGGTTCATGAGTTGATGGGTCGATAGGTAGGGTCCAGGTGTGGGAGCTGCCTTCCTGGTACGTCGGTACCATTGGTTCTCAACACGGAAAACAAGATCGACGGAAAAAACAAACCAAAGGAAAAATAAAAAAAAAACGTCTTTCGGCAACATACGGGGTACAAAATTGAAAACAGTCATTTTGGATGCGTTACGAAAAATTAAAAGATTTTGAACGATAATAACTCAACCGTCTCTCGATAGATTTACGAGATAATGGCATCAATCGATTGGAAATATTTCTAGCAATTTGCTGAATGTTTCAAAACTATTGATTTCATTCTGTAAACTATTGAAAAATGGTTAAAAAGTAAACCATTGTCTAAAGATGGTGAAAATCGATTGATTTTTTTATATTCTTATACTTTCTCCAACCGAGACATCAGATGCGAGTATGTGACACCTCTGATATTTTCTGTTCTACTATATAAGCGTCCAACAAGGTCGCCCGTTCCATCATTGTCTATCCGATCGTCGACCCAGCAGCAGAGCAGCAGTACCAGAGCAGCGTAAGTAGAGCCTGGGGGCGAAAGGGCAACTACGCCGAGTGCGTTGGTGCCAGTGCTCCGGTATACTGGGCCGCCGTCATGGAATGCCCAGCTGCTGCAGTTCTCAGTCGGTCGTATTCACCGTCTGCTCCGCAAGGGCAACTACGCCGAGCGCATTGGAAAAATGGCCACAACATTATCAAGAAAGAGTTTAACGATTAATTTTCTAATGCCTTTCCGACACTTTTTTCATATGACTTTCATCGGCCTCATGATATTCATTTGATTTTGTGGTGGGATTTTTAGCTACGTGAAATTCACATGGTTTTCTTCCATTAGATACCTATGTGGTAAATTTTTTGAGTATATGCTTCGGCAATCAAAATAAAGTTTGCACGATGGAAGCGCACATCGTAAATTTCGTTCATTTTAGTAATAATTAAATTGGCCCTCTGGCAGTACATGAAAAGCCTTTTTGTAAGGGGAATTTTTCAAAACGATGCCGATTAAAATAATGGGTACCATTTTCTGAGGATGAGATGAAGACGATTCGTCATCCATATGAAGCGTGTCACGATCATTCCCAAGGATTCGTGGTTAACGCGTCTTATTTCTCTGTTAATACCGTTTAAACTCAATAAGAGGATTGTGATCGACTGGTTCCTCTCAACATATCTGTTTGGATTTCATCCGAAGTTTCGGTCGCATATATTGTGCCTTTTTGAAGGAATCTTTTGAACTCTATATGTTGGTAGAGTGTTCTACTTTAGTATTTTGTGTTCACCTACTAACCAGGCTCGGTTTTATTGTTCTATGAGCCCACAGTATAGGCGTAATAATAATCTAGAAGTATCGCTTCAATACGATTAACCGGTTGGCTAAGCAAAGAAGACCGGAAGCCCCAACGGTAACGGTAAATGTTGAGCAATGAAGGAACAATACAGTTCAGAATCAGCGGTCCGAGGAAAACGTCTTTTGAAGTTACTAGTCAAATCACTCAATATATTGAAGGCAAGCAGTTCACGTCCAAAGCGGAGAGTAAGGTACACTTACCGGGATCCAGTAAACCGATGTCACGTAGGTAGTTAATTCACTTCCAGAGGTACTAATACCTTATCAGAAATCAAACCACACTTCAAATTGGACGGATCATTTCTGAAATCTCAACCGTAATTTGCTAATGAATTTCATTCCGCTGCATCAATGTAGGCCATAAGTCCAGGGCCACCGCAGCTCTGCAAGGTAGGGGAAATGGATCTAAGATTGGGCCCATCGCTAAAAATCTGCTATTTACCAATCTTATCTATATGAACGCGTCGTTGGGACGGTACTGATGGATATTTTAGGGCGCTATTGAAAATTTAGTCGATAGTTTAATTTTAGATATGAATGGAATGATAACACTGCACTGGTTAATTTCTTGGAATTCAAGATACGCCTACACTAATCAACCATCATCGAACCTACTCGATGAGGATATCAATTAACTAGGGAGAGCATGACAGAAAGATTCAACCATGTTTTTAATGGATTCATTTTATCACTCCTTGCGTACCACGAAGGAAACTGTTTTGAAAACGAAACTCTTTACTACCATCAAATTGGTCGTCCTGAAAAGGACGGATTTTGTTAAAGGGTGGGAACTTCGATCGAATTTAGGCCTTCTTTTCGGTCTTCTTGGGCAACAGGACGGCCTGGATGTTTGGCAGGACACCACCCTGAGCGATGGTCACTCCGGAAAGAAGTTTGTTCAGCTCTTCGTCGTTGCGGATGGCCAACTCGGGAACTTCAGCGGCCAGATACTCCATCACGGCAGCCAGGTAGACGGGAGCACCGGCTCCAACACGCTCGGCATAGTTGCCCTTTCGGAGTAGACGGTGAATACGACCGACTGGAAACTGCAATCCAGCGCGGCTCGAACGGGACTTTGCCTTTCCCTTGACTTTGCCTCCTTTTCCACGTCCAGACATAATGAAATGTAAAATAGGTGAACCGATTTACGAACGACACGAGCAGTTCGATGCTGAAACTGTAATGATGACATTTCGACCGTCGAGGGTGGTGTTATACCTGCGTCGAGTAGCATATTATGAATACAGGGACGGTGAGTGTCGGTTGTCTCTACGGGCATGAAACGAGACAGCGTTGCCAGTATTCCTGATTTATTTGATTTTACAGATTTTCAATCGTCTTGCCTTTAACGGCGCCGGTGGTGTAGTGGTAAACGTGATTACCTCTCACCCCAGCAGGCCTGGGTTCAATCCCAGTCGGCGCCGCCGGGATGTTCTTGAGGCATAACATCTCTGATCACGCCTTCCTTCGGATGGGAAGTAAAGCCGTTGGTCCCCGGTTTATGAGTTTGATGGATCGATAGGTAGGGTCCAGGTGTGGGAGCTGCCTTCCTGGCACGTCGGTAGCATTGGTGCTCAGCACGGAAAACAAGATCGACGGAGAAAACAAAACAAAGGAACAAAAAAATGTAAGCGACAGCTGTAAAATATGCAATACAGCCGCAAAGTTCGTTTGTGTTGTTCAAGTTTGTTATGGGCCATAAATGTATAGACCAGTTAAGGGGATACTGTCAAATTTGTGAAATCCAATATTGGAAACCTTTCTCGCGTCTTTTTTCAAAAGGTCCTAAGTAACAAATTTAAAAATATATCGAGTTAGGCGATACAAATTATTGCTCTTCTATCATTGTATGTTATACAAAAACATCCATCCAAATTTACTTTCATTTATTTAAGATTATCATTAGTTTGAAATTATGGGTACATGATTGTTACTTCGGTCATTCGGACTGCCTAACATGATTGGTGCTCATTTTCCAAAGGCGGCGCCAATCTAAAGTTAGGGACTCTACTCTGAAATCTGTGAAAGGGAATCTAGTATCATGTAGAACAAAACGTCCAATGTAACACTCATTGATTATATCATTGAGAAAAATCGTCCAATATAACATGTCCAATTTACAACTTGAGTAGTCAAAACGTCCTATGTGTTTTTTTCTGTATTGTAGCATGAAATTCAAAGTAAAATTGTGATTTTACCGTTTCTACTGAATTTTCAATGTTATTATTCACTGACTTCATTAAAAATAGTGTTGCAAAATGTATTGTTTCTAAACAGTTAAAATAATAATCTGTCGAACTTCAACTTGTATTTTCTCAAATGTTACATTGGTCTATTTGAAAAGTGACGCGATATTTGATGTCAGTCCCGTGGATGAATCATTATTTTTCCTCCTGCTCGCACTTGTCCGAGAAAGTGTTTTGGTGCCGGGACGGGACTTGACAATGGAGCTTCTCACTCTTCTTAATGTTTTTGAAGAATGCCCTTCGGAAAGTTGTGCATGGTGTTTGACGGAGTTGACCAATGATGCCATGAATGTAAAATGCTTTTTCTATTTTAATTTGTACTTTACTCGGAGTTTCTACCGCAGTTTAGCAGCTTGTACATCATTTTTGCTCAAAACAATGAAAACAACCATAAACAAACAACAATATCCATCGCTTAAAACACGCAGTGCACTCATTTTTTCCACTTTCCTTTCGCAAGTATAAACAAATAACATTGATTCCGGCATCACTGCCAGCCAGATTGATGCGATCCCTCTGATGCGAAAATTCCGAGAAATTCTCAGCATTTCCGAAATCTTCCCAAAATTACCGAAGGTTCGTACAATGTCCTAGAACTTCTCTAAAAATCCTAGAAGTTTCCAGAAATTACCGAAAAGATTAGAGAACTTTCCAAAAGCTTCGGTAACTATTCAGAAATTCTAAAAAAAAAATGCTCGGAAGTTCCAGGGACGTCCCATACATTTTGAGAACTTCACAGAACATCCAACAGCTTGCCAGAGGTTCTATGTACTTCTCACAAATTCCAAGTACTACTAGATCGAGATCTTTTAGAGCTCAGAACGTCCAGGACATTCCAAAAGTTTCCCAGAAGACCTTCAAGCTTCCTAGCAGATCCAAGGAGATCTCACATCTTCTCCGAAATTCGAAAAACTTCCTAGAAGATCCAAGAACTTTTCAAAAAAAGAAAATCTGAGAACCTTGCTGAAGATCCACTTCCCACAACTTCTGAGAACATTCAAGAAATTCCGATAATTTTCCAAAAAATCCAAGAAATTTTCTGAATTTCAAAAAGTCTCCCCAGAATTACCAAGAGCTCCCATAAAACCAGAAAGTCCGAAAGCTTCTTAAAAATTTCGAATATATTAGAGAACTTTCCAGAAGTTCCGGCTACTATTCAAAAGAACTGGAAACTGCACAAAAGTTCCGGGGACTTCCCATAAAATTTGAGAACTTTACAGAATATCCAACAAGGGAGTCGAGTTTCGAACGCCTTTGGATACGGTTGTGTGTTAAGTTCGTTCTCTGTTTTGTGCGTGCATTCACTTTCATAGTTTTCGGCTGCATTTGCCGGATTAGCGCTGGCACTCTGCCTCCCGGACGGTTATACGTGTGTGAGTGGTGGTTTTCTCGCTTTCCGAGAAGTTTTAGAATCGAGAAAGAAAACATGATTCATCATGTTTGCAAAATTGCAAGCATCAGAAGATTTGGCGCTGCATGGTTTGATTGTTTGATGAGAACGGCGCTGATCTATTGTCAGGGTTTTGCGATGTGCATTGCTTTTGTGCACGGAGTGACTTGAAAAAGAAAAGTGAAGAAAAGTGATATTTGGTTGTTGTGTGGTTGGAGTCGCTGGAGGAGGAATTTTTTAGGGATGACTAGAGAAAAATATGCGTGGAAGCATCGGGAATGCGCTCCCGGGTGAAGTGATTTGGTGAGTACGTTCCAGTTGAAGATTGTTGACAAGTGTATTTGTGGTGATGCAAATTATGGTTTAGATGATGCATGGCTTCAAACATTTTGTGTATCCAAATAAAACATATTACAAACTAAATACGTACAGGGCATCGTCTGCTGACCATTGCCACGGGTATATCGTGGGAGTCCCAGGTACCCGGTTCAAGCTTTAGTTGGCGGCGGTGGCTCTTCTTGACCTTCTACCCCCTGAGTAGTTAGTGTGAATAAGGGCGTCTATGTGGTGTTTTGCTGTACCTGTTGCGGACATTTAGTGCATCCTGTTTCCTTAACTTGTTGAGGACACCCTGTCTTGCCTCAAAAGTTACCCTTTTTGAAGTACTAGTCTTCACAACATAAAGGGCACCATAACGGAGCATGAGATTTGATCAAATTATTAGCAGTTGTACTTGTCCAACGCCCCCGGCTGGGTGAGGGATAGAGGATGACACACACACACACACACACACTTCACAGAATATCCAACAACTTCCGAGAAGTTCTGCACGTAAACCAGAAATGTATGAAATTGATTGTTAGTTGCATTTCCTATCATCTTCCGAAGCGTACACCGCACTGAATTGTATAAGTTGACCATGCAGATGATGCTATGATTTTTTTTTATCTTTCGTGTTCGGTCTACGATTTCCACTACACTAGCAACACTTACCACGACTATCCCCGTTTTCCGTTTATCAGAAAATGCATACGAACCCAAGTAGCACAATTGTGGCCAAAAAAAGTCGCATAGAAGTCGAGTATGAGAGAAAATGAGCGCTTCTTATTCGCTTTTAGCCTATACAGGTCTGATAATCGCAGCTTTTGTGCTTCGAGTCCAGCTGGCAACCTTTTTTTTCTATTTTTCTCGACATGATTTATTTAACTCACTAAAACACCCCACATTTTTCTTTTTCGCTTTTTCTTGTATTGAACCGTGCTCGGTTTATCGCATGCACCGTTCATGTGGTCTCCATTCGATGATGAATCCCACATAATTGTAAGCAAATCTTACATCCTTCGCTTGGGTGCATACACAATTTCCCCATAAATTCCGCGTACTACTAGATCAAGCACTTCTAGATCTCGGAACTTCCCAGAAGTTTAAAGAGTTTACCAAAAGACCCTCGAACTTCCTAGCAGTTCTGAGAAATTTCCATAAATTTCTTGAACTTTTCAAAAAATCCTAGAAAATTTCTCAGAAATTCAAAAAACTTCATAGTCTTTCCCAGATTTTTTGAAAGCCTCCCATAAGTTCCATGAATTTCTCAGCAGATCTGAGAACTTCCCAAAAAATCCGTGCATTTACATGAAATTCCGAAAATTCCGAGAACTTTCCAGAAGTTCCATACACTTTTCAGAAGATTCAAGAAGTTTCCAGAGTTTCCACTTCCCCACAAGATGCGGAAACTTCCCAAAAATGTCTCAAACATCCCATCAGCTCAGAGAAGTGTTCGGAAAATTATTCTCAAATATCAATCATTGAGCCTCCCTGCGAGAATAAAAACTCGTCTGCAAATGCGGCAAAGAAAATTCTCGCTTGAGATTCTCATGCATAATGACGCACTCACACTCCTAACGCCGAAAAAACATGTCAGCTCATAAACTCATAAAAACCACTCAAAGGGAAGTTATCAGAATCTGACTTGAGTTAAATCTCACCATGAGCAGTTCCACGCCAATTGACGAAAGTGAATCGAAAAAAAAACTCGACCTTCTCCGATTTGCACGAATCATTGAATTATTGTTTGAGAGAGTGGTGGCTTTGAAATTATTCAAAAGAATTGTAGTGCGGAAACTTCTGGGGGAAAATATTGACAGTAATTCCAAGTAAAATTTATAACAACATGTTAAAAAGCCAAATATCTCAAAATGTCCATGACCAATTTTAATTTTTTTTTTAATTTTTAATTAATGCACATGAAAACAATAACATCACGTTAGAAGGTGTGATTAGAAGAGCTGGGATAGCTATCTCTAAATTGATCGAGACGAACGTAGAATTGTTCCATGGCTTCACCGGAAATAGCTTCGGAACAAGTAGACTATCAAAATGTACCGGGCAAACGCGCGAAAACTCATGAACTTCATTAAAGACTGTTGAGCTCTGACCACGACAGAGTGGTCTTAACAGAAAACTGGCTTCGACCGGACATACCAGACTGTGAACTTTCGACGCACGAGTCTTCCAATCAATTATCTTCTATCTCTGATGTTGGCCTAGGGATCTCAAAATTGGGCCCATTGCTAAACAAACCCTGTTCTTCAATTTTCCTTAGAACAATGAAAAATGGTCAAATCCTTCGAAATTTAAGTATGACCCAATGTTTAGGCCGACATTAAGGACATTAACACATTTTCTCAGCTGAAATCCTTCTAGTTGGAACAGCTAGAGTTTGTTTCGTGGTTGATGGGGGTTTACGGTGCTGTGTCAGGAACGAAAGACGAGAGTGCTGCTTTTAACACCCTTGGAACAAGTATCGGCATATCTATGGGGAGCTCTTCAAAATCATCGTGATGTAATGTATTTCTTTGCAACACATCGGGTGAGATCTTTCCTTCTTTTAACATTCATTCCATTATTATATGAAACATTATATCGAAGACAACAAATCAAGAAGACTAGCAGCTTTGCCAGAATCCAAGTGACAGATACAGTAGCGCTGCGCTTGAGTGAAGGTGGAAGCAACGCATAAAAAAAATGAGCAAATACACAAACCCTTCGACTGAGGATGTAGTCTTTGCTATCAAATTCGGCTTGATTTGTTGTCTTCGATTATATGCTGGGTACGGGAGGGTCCACCAGGACAAACAATTGAAGCGAAATGGATGGGGAGAGTGGAAATGCCAACTCCCTGTCTTTAACATTTCGTGAAAAGAGGGCGGGATCTTTTCCTCACTCACTGAGACATCCTCCTGTTGGATGGTCTGTTTTTTGACCGGTTGTTTGATCCTGTTGTTCATACAATGGCAGGTTGAGTACAATTAGAGGTTATTAAACTTGATCAAGTCGGCAGTTGTCTTGCTACAGTGAGTGGTGGTTCCATATCATCATCATTATCATCATCATCATCACATTAGGGACATTAACATTTACATGATTTTTTTTTCAAACGGTGCACATATAAGTATTTGACCTAAAAAGTTGGCCAAAAGTCTGAAATCCGAAATCTGTGAATCTCATGCTTTTTTGGGACAAATACTTCTATGTGCGGTGTAGAGGAGGTGATACCAGTGGCGTCTCGTCCATGTGTGCACCTCGTGCACTGCACACACGGAGAACAAATTATAGCAGACGTAATTATTTTTCCGGTCAAAATAACTATATTGTTCAATTGTTTTAGAGATAACCCGAAACTTTAGTTGATTTGACTATATATAGAGGGCTACAACTATAGTCCATAGTTGGCTCCTCGGTTGGCCCAACTATATTTTTCAGTAGATGAACAAACGTCAAACTTCAAAATACAACTATGCTTTAGTTGATTCAAGAAAACTATTGTTAGGAAAGCAACATTTTACAATGTTTATTAAACGAACTGCTCTTCATTATCGACATATGAAGGAAGTTTGTTTTGCTTCTTTATCGATCTCAAAAACACAACTGCAAAATCATAAAAAAAGTGTACAAGAACATTCAACTTAGATTTGAACCGTGTTCATCTGCGTGAGAGCCAGCAATCTTATCGCCTGCTCTACGCATCACAAGTTAAAATTGTGCGGATTTATGATGATCAGTTGAAACCGAATTATATAAATAAATTACATTTGACGATCAAAGCTATAGTTGAATTGAGTATAAGATGAACAGTTGAATCTGTTAGGTGGATATGATTGAATTGACGGTCAAATTAATGTTGGAATAACTATAGGTTTCTTTCAAACAACATTATTTTTCCATGTGAAAGTAACTATTAGGATTGTTATCTTAACTTAACGAATTTGTTCTCCGTGCAGTCTCGAATTTCTAAAAGTAAAATTTATATTTCATAAAAGTCAAGAGGCAAAAATTTAATACTTAATTAAAACCATTTTTGTCTGCCCTATTTATTGGTTTCATATGAATATCAACTGAACTATCCACCATAGCAGCTGAATTTTTTACCACATCGCTACTCAACCTCCGTTTTACCCGCCACTGAAAGAAATGTACGTAAAAACAGAAGCGAGGCATAGCGATCTTGTTTTCACGTACGGGCACGCTGGGATTTTACCACGTGCAGACAACACTCTTTTTGGGCTTCTATGGCGAATGAGCGACACAAAACAAGCAAGGAAAATATACCTTCGTTCTACCAAAGCCACCGCATGCTTAGTTCTCCCAGTCTGAGCACTTTTGCTTGTGCACCAGAAACGCTCGTATTTACAACCAGATCAGTTGTATATGTATTGAAGTCCCGTAAGCATAATTGCCGCTGTGTTAGTGTTTATGTTGTGCACTTCTATCTTTGCACAGTTTAAAGAGAAGAGAATAAATTGGCACGTATAGGCAACATCGCATTTGAGTTTCTCTCTGAATTGATTGAATCTTGGAGAGCCGTCATTCGCTGTATACCTACCTACACGCACACATCGAATTTTTAAATTTTTAAATTTTCTCACTACCATGTCAGCATTTCATTCAGTAGCCTCAGCGCATTGATGGAATATTGTTCATAACATAGTGCAAAATTAAATAGGAATCGTGGAACAGGATATTGTTGATGACCTCCTGAAAAGACTGTTTGCCAGAAGATCCATGGAGGAATAAATGCTTATTGCGAGAATGGACGTCCCACGACTAAAGTTGAACAACTTGAAAACGACATGTAAAAGAAATGGTAAAATCATAACACGGAACTTTGCCGAAAATGGACAAGTGGAAATTGTTGGTTGTGTCATGCTCGAGGAAATTGCGCGGGAAGTGGAGCATTTCGAGGAAATCGCAATTGGCGTCAACTCTACGCTACTGCTTAGGAAACGGTGAGCAACGATGACAAATATCATAAACATGAGACTTAAAAAGAAAATCAATGTTTCTATGCAAGAGTAAGCAAAACTGGTAGCAGAACTGTTTCCCATCATCATTTCGTTTATTTTTTATGCAGGTACCCCCGTCGAAAGATTTGTATCCCATTTTTTTATTATGCATCAAAATTGGTTTCTACTGTTCCAGGCAAAATATAAATAAAATAGGTGCACAACTAGTGAATTTTCTCACGTGACGCCACTGGGTGATACGCTAATAGCAGTCAAATATCTGTACCCATGTTCTTTGGTTCCATTGGAAAACTGCAACCAGATCGAGCAAGTAGTTGTCCGGATTAGTTTGAAGAACCGCTCTCTGTTTATCTCTGGAATCTACATCCGCCCTTTGCCCAGTCTGGAGCTCTACATGTCACATGCCGTAGCTTTACGGAATATCTCGGAGATGTCCTCGAGCGGTGATACCATCATGGCACTGGGAGATGACAATCTCCTTCATTTACACTGGAATTTCTACAAAAATACGAACGGTTATCTGCCTTCTAACTGATCATCGAAACAGGTGGCTCTTACTGAAGCAATGCTTGCTTACGGTCCAATCTAGGTCAACCCATCCCTAGTAACAATTTTGGATCTATGAGACTTCTGTAGATCATGATTTAGACTTGTAGAATGCTATAAAACCTCTATAAAGCTTGCAATGTTACTTGAGATATGTCCCATATTGATCTCCTCGAACCAGCGCTTCCACTGCTTAGGACAGCTATCAATATGGTAGAGCCTTCGTAAGTTCATCGTCTTAATTCAGTTGCTTTAGCCTTTAGCCAGGTACTTGCGGTCATTAGAACCCATATTTGTCGAAACATCTTCTCAAAATCGGTTGTAATGGCATACAAAATCGATTACTTTTAAATGCAGAAGAATTTTCAACCAGGAATAAAATCAAAAAAAAAAAATCTTGAGAAAGCCAGCAGAAACCTGTAACGATGCAAACAAATTGGCATCTAGAGAACCGCTGCGTTCAAAAGGAAAAATAAATAATAAAAAAAAAAAACTGATTTCAATTCCCCATACCAAAACTACTCATTTAACCTTCTGACACAATCAAAGCCCTTCCGTCCCCCTACTCCTACTAGCGTGCCCCTTGCTGCCACGCAACCATCACCATCCCCGTTGTGCCCGACCCAACCGTCCCGCTGGTTACCCCTCGCGTTTCCATCCCACCGGACGACACTTCATTCGCTTCACTACCATCAGCCTCAACCACTCCCGCTTTCTTCCCTTCTCCTATTTTAGCTCCCCGTGCACCTAAACCACCACCGCTGCCGCCCGGCACGATGCGCCGCACTCACTCGATGTTCATAATTTTTTTGAACGCCTTCCGAAACTCCGGGTTGAAGATCGTGTAGATGACCGGATTGACGAAGCTGTTCATGTAGCCGAGCCAGGTCGTCAGGATGAAGGCCGTCACGCCCGGCTGGCAGGCCATGTCCAGCTTGGTGCACATCGCGTCCATGATGTTGCACGTGAAGAACGGCACCCAGCAGATGAGAAATACGCCTGAAACGTGGGATAGAAAGAGATGGAGATAAAGAAAAACAATCCGTGGTTAGTCTTCTGGAAATGAATTTAGCACACATGCAGATGATAATTGAATTCAGTGGACGGCATATTTGCTTTTCCGAAAACAATTGCAAAATGCAATCAAATTTCAGTCTGTCAGGTTCATTAGAAAGTGTTTATAAATCCTGGAAATCTACATAAATCCGCTCAGGATACATGTGATTCACTTTCGTAAGCAACATAATCTACATAAATCCGAGCAAAAGTTTTTCCCTGCAATTTTACAACTCGTTTCAACGTTGTATCAACTCGATCCTGCACTGGCAGTATGAAATGGCAGCCACCAGCTCCACATTCACTATACAGTGCTCATAGCAGCAAAAAACAAGAAGAATCAAGCGCAGTTTTCACCACCAACCAGTAGCAGTACAATTGAAAAATGTCAGCGAGAAAAACAGAGCTTCAATTCCGAAAAACTTTTCACCAACGATTCTACTTTTGCATACTAAAATATACCGCTATCAACAACCAAGCAGAGCTGGATGCAGCCCGAATTTCTTCTATACCATAGCCTAGGTGCTAGGTAGGTGGCGCTGGAAAGCGGGTTTCAGTTTTACAACCCACCATTCATCGTCCGAGCTGCAGCCAGCGCACGAGCCGTCGAATGCTGCATCAAAACAGCCAGCAAACTATCATCTGTTGCACCATAAAAAAAAAGAATACATTTATCCCCCGAAGGCGTCGATACACTAAACCTACCACACCGGTCCCGGTCCTGTTTGGCCAGATGCACTAAAGTGTAAAATATTTATTCTAGAACACAGACCGAACCAGCCTGGATCTTCGTCGTGGTGCAGCTCTGAATGTGCAAGCGGGAGTTGTTTGCATTTTGAATATCATCGTAATTTCAGACGATCAGATTGGGAAAACTTTTCTCATCGGTGGAAATCTACGCTTCGCGGGTTTTGAGACCGATATGTATATATGTACCTACGAGTGGAAACTGAGCAGTGGGTTGTTGGGAAACGGTGGACAATGAATTGGAGAACTTGCTACATTTTTATGCCACTGTTGTTTTGCTTGAGGGTACTCGGTTACAAAAAAAAACTGGACAATGTACTCCAATTGATTGAAGTAGATGGCACAGTGAATGCTTACCCAACTAACATGTTCAGCAATAATTATCATGCTTTTCCTGTTCTGAACTCTGATTGGAGAGCTATTCATTCCCAATAGTTATTTCGAAGCAATTAGAATATGAAAGTTAATGTAGATACTATAACATTAAGAAGATAGCATGCAACTTACCTTTTCCCTCAGGGGCTGCCTACTCTGTCGATTGAGAGGTTACGTTGGGCCCGCGCCGTCGCTCGTTGCTCTCTGCGTCGTCGCAGGCGTCGGGGCACTTTCTGCAGGGATTCTCGTAGGAATCCTGTGAGCACACGTGATTAATATTTTTTTGTTGGCGCACTTTTCGGACGTAGGTTCAAAATTTCATCCACTCGCGCACTATTGTGGACCGTTCTAACGGCAGATTCTGGTCTAGTTTCTCGGACCAACACTAGGATCACGAAGGACTAAGGAGGCAATTCTTCACTCCTTCGCCTACCACACAACCGACGGATACTCGCGAACTACCAATCCCATGCAGTCGAGAACGCCTATATCTAATGGCGGGGATTGGGGACCAGCTCGGCGGCAATTAATACGCACGCCACTTGCAGGTTTCGGGATACTTCGGCCGAACACCAGAATTACGCACTACCGAGACTGGGCTTAGCTTCTTCTGGCCAGGTTAACAGCCCGTTTCACTCGCCACACTAGGCGTCACACACGCGAAGGCAAAAATCCGTCTTTCCTTTTTCTAACACTTGACTTTATTCCGCGCGTCCGTACTATCCAAAAGGTTTTCCACAAAAGAGACCCATCAAGTAGTAGTAGTAAAATTATGTTTATTTCTGTTGATTATGGTAGTACATTGATTTATCATTTTAATTGATTAGCCTACTTGGCTCTTCATCTTTGTTCAATTTGATATTCTAATTTAATATTTGCGTTTTTCAACTATTTTACAGAATACCCCTTTGGGGATATGTTTTATTTGAATTGAAAAAAGTGATAACCTACCTAACTACGAGTATAACTTAACCTAACGTGCTAGATCACGCATGATCTGATGATTTGATCTCAGACAGGTGTCTCTGAACCTTTCCAGGATGAATACTCTCCGTTCTTCTAATGTTTGAATTCCAGCCAGGAAGTGGATCTCAGAATTTCTAGTCCGCGGGGGACTGTTTAGGACCATCCTAAGGATCTTGTTCTGGATCCTTTGGAGTTTAAGGTGATGGCATTTTGCGCAACTCTCCCAGATTGGCATACCGTACTCGATTACAGGAAGGATGATTTGTTTGTAGACAACAAGCTTATTTTTCAGGGACAGGGTTGACTTCCTGTTGATAAGTGGATACAACGATCTTATCAAGATGTTGCACTTGGTTTTCGTTTTGTCAACGTGCTCCCTGAAAAGAAGCTTGCTGTCTAGTGTTAGCCCGAGGTACACGACCTCTTTGGACCATTCCACCACTGTGCCGTTCAGGCAGATCTTGTTATTCTCCGACGGAACAAGTCTAGGAGATTTAGAGTGTGGAAAGATAATGACCTGGGTCTTTGCCACGTTGATACGGATCTTCCAGCTGTTGAAATATTCAGACAGGACGTCCAGGCCTCTCTGAAGTTTGGCAGTCAGAGCTCCGATGACCCTACCCTTGTAGACGATGGAATGTGTCATCTGCGAACAGAGACAACGATCCACCATCAGGGAGAGCCGGCATATCGGAGGTGAACAGGTTGAATAGGATGGGGCTAAGGATGCTTCCTTGTGGAACCCCGGCACCGATGTTGAAAGCATCCGATGTGATGCTATTCAGAGAGACTCGGAACTTCCTGTCCGATAGATAGTTGTTTATTATCTTCACTAGGAAGATTGGAAGACCGTACTGCTGCAATTTGAACACCAGGCCATCATGCCAGACATTGTCGAACGCTTTTTCAACGTCCAACAACGCCATGGCAGATGTTTTCGAAACAGAATTGTTCCGTCTGAGAATGTTTGTTACTCGAGTCAGCTGGTGGACGGTCGAACGACCTTTCCGAAAACCAAACTGTTCCTCGAGTAACAAGTTGTTTTCATCGGCAGATGTTAGGAGCCGGTGGTACACTGCTCTTTCGAACAGTTTTGATAACCCTGAGAGAAGGCTGATTGGTCGATAACTTGAAGGAGAGGACGGATCCTTCCCAGGTTTCCGGATGGGTATGACTTTAGCTAACTTCCAACATGAGGGGAAGTAGCCAAGTCTGAGGCACTGATTAAAAATCAGCGCCAGATGGTTGTAGAATCTGGAACTCAAGTGTTTGAGTTCCAGATTCAGGATGTTGTCGAAACCTGGGGCCTTCATGTTTTTAGATGGTTTGATATAGGCCAACAGTTCGTCAGCCGTAATCTCGGATTCCTCTGGAAAAATGTTAGGAGTCTGAAGAAGATTGGTTGCATTTTCAGCAACCTCAGATTCATGAGGGCTGATGATGTTTTGTCCGAGATTATGGGAGCTGACGAAGTGTTGACCTATCGCGGCAGCCTTCTCTTCAGGAGTTATCAGATGAACCACTGGGTCGCCGGGACGATCCAGTGGGGTCAGTGGGGGAATGGGCCTAGGCTTGTTTTTAAGAATTTTTGTAAGTTTCCAGAAGGGCTTAGCACAATCTGGGAGAGAGCGGATCTTACTAGCAAAATCGTTATTTCTGAGATCCACCAACCTAGCCTGAATGATCTTTGTTAATCGATTAGAATCGGTCTTCAAGTTAGGCAGGCCAGTACGCTGGTACTGCCTACGAATGGTGTTACGGAGTCTAATGAGATCTTTGGTAGGGCTGTCAAGGTTCAGAGTGTTACTCACTTGTCTGGATACTGGCACGTGTTGTTCCCTGGCCCGAGAGATCGCCTCCTCGATGGTTTGTAGACACCGGTCAACATCTTCGGACGTCCCCGGTTGGACATCATAGTCGATGGTTGTGTCGACGCAGTGTTGATATTGCGCCCAGTTGACTCGATGGTAGTTGTGCCGGGAAGCTTCGAATCGGTTTACCGAGGATCCAACTTCGGCCACCACCGGGTAGTGGTCCGAGCTCAGCTCCTGGAATGCCACAGGTTGCGAGATGTTGTGTCCCATGTTGCTTACGAAGATGTCGATGGTCGCATGGACCCCAGACCGACTCAACCGGGTGGGAGAGTCCGGGGCCAAGATGGTATAGTGGCCCTCTTGCAGGTCTTCATTGAGGATGATGCCGTTTCTATTGCTCCGACCGTTGCCCCAAGCTTGGTGTTTTGCGATCAGATCGCCAGCGATAATGAAGTTCCCGCTCCTCCGGGTGAGTTTGATGATGTCTTTCCGGAGGGCCACTGACGACCCGTCCCTGATGTTGGTTTGCTTGGGGCAGTAGACCGCGATGATGGTGATTGGGCCAAGTGATGTGCTCACCTCCACTCCGATGGCTTCAATTGTTTTCAGCTGGAAGTTTGGTAGCAGCCGGCAACTGATGTTACGTCTTGCAGCAATGGCCACTCCTCCACCTCCAGAGCAGGTGCGATCAAGTCTGACAAGCCGAAAGTCGGGAAGGAATATGTTCAGTTCGGGTTTCAAATGCGTCTCGGTGATGACAGCAATGTCGACCTCCTTGGTGTTGAGGAAATCGAGTAGCTCTCTATGCTTGTTCGTTAGTGAGCAAGCGTTCCAATTTGCAATTTTTGTAGCTTCACGGTCCATACTTGGTGACGAGTGACAAGGCAGCATGAAGCTGTTCAGATCGAGTCTTGCAGGTGCGCATGATGATGATGACCTCGGCCACGAGCGTCACAAGTTCCTCCGAGGTGAACGGAGAATCGTCGGCAGATTCACCTGAGACAGCACCAGCGTATGATAAACCAGAGGCGGTGGATGAAC